TGCTACTGCTATTGCTACTGCTATTGCTACTGCTACTCCTACTGCTACTACTACTACTACTACTACTGCTGCACTGCTACTGCTACTGCTACTACTGCTACTACTTGCCACTGCGAGAGAAAGCCAAGGTATAGACGTCCTTCTGGGCATACAGACGGGGATGCGATCCTCCAGTAAGACAGCGCCATCGGAGGATGGGCGTTCCGACGTGCTTGCCTCGGAGACATGAATGCCCCTTCCGTCCGAAGGCAGCGATGTCATTTCGAGAACAATCGGACTTGCCACCAAGGTTAGTGATACTGAGCCGCCTGATGCCGCCCGGATGCATCTTCACAACTTGGTGAGGTGTCCTTCTTTCCGTTATATGCTTTTGTGTATTTGAGCTAGCAGGAGATCGACACCGGATGGGCTGAGAATTCGACGGACTGGGCAGAGTTCGCCACCCGCTCCTTCGATCCCAGCATGGTGGAAATTCCATCACACGTGTGTCTTGGCATAAGACAGCAGGGCTGTGAACTCTCCAAGATGCTCAACACCTGCGAGGCGAAGACGGTCATCAAGGGGAGAGCTGCCGCCTGGATGCGCCAAGAAAATATGAGAAAAGCAGCTGGAGTCACATCTCGAAATCCTGCACAAAAAGACTATGACTAAGGATTAGAAAGATAGACTTCAGCTCCTGCTTCGCCCGGCCCTCGGAATACATCGTAACACTGACATCTTTGCAAAAAGTGTGCTGCGCATTGTGGGGTTCGAACGTTAAGTGCAAAGAGACTTGATTGGTGTGTCCGTGCGCGGCGCTGCGGAAACGTTCCCCGACCCGCGGCCTCCGCTGAGGCACGGAGCATATTTTACATTATTGACCTTCGGTGCGTTCCCGGAAAGTCAGAATCATTGTACATTTCAATAGGAGAGCAGGATTTTGCAATATGTGAGGTAAAGCATTAGCGCAGCAGTCCCGACTCCCGTCAGTGCTAGATGGGCGAAGCCATTCTTGCCATTTTGGCCAAGTCCTGATTTCCGGCAGTACTTGGGTGTTGCGCTGGGTTCGCCTGTATCTCGCCAGTAGATGGGGCAAAGCATTTTGGCCTTCGCGGCCTGGTAGTTTGTCCTTGTCTCTTGGTGGTCTCTTCGTGGTCTCCGATTGGTCTCTTGGGGTGTCCTGGTGGTGTCCTAGTTGTCTGCTGGTGGTTCCGGTTGATTTCTTGTTGGGGTCTTCTGGTGGTTTTCGAGTCTCTTGTTGGTCTCCTGATGGTCCGGGTCGTCGTAGTCGTAGCGGTCGTCGTGGTGGTCCTGGTGGTCGTGGCGGCCGTGCTGGCCGTCTTGGTACTCACACATGAGTATACCTCACAACAACCTTCTACAGATTTGAGATGATCTCCATCGGTGCCACTGTTGATGCATCGTTCCCAGCTGAGGTATCGGTCGTGAGCTACTCGAAGGACGAGGATGACAATCCTGGCCTTGACGCAGAATCCGAGCCCTTCGGGAAGCGTTCGTAAAGGGGACTGGTCCGGGTGCCCTTTAGGACTCGAGGAGTTGAGGGTTTTGGAGAATGTACGGGGGGTTGGGGAGTTTACGGATTTAAGGACTTCGGGGTTTAGGGTGCGTAGGATCCCTTGATGATCCATCGCTACGTTCTCAGGTCGCTTTTCATTGTATTCGAGCTCGGCGGTGAGTCCTTGGAGGACACACGAAAATGTAATGACCGTTTGCCCTTTTTGCGTGTGCAGCCGTGAGTAAGATCAGACATTTGTGTCTTTCCTAGTGCAGGACAGACTTGTGAGGTATGCAGATGAAGGAAGGAAGCTGTCGGCGGATGAACACCGTTCCCTGCAGTGCTTGGTCGGCAAACAGCCTGCCTGTCCCACATAAGAGCTAGTCTCTGTCCTGTGGCATTGAATGATTTGGCTGGCGGAGGGCTATTCCACGTCTTTGCAATACGACTCGGTTAAGGCTTGGAGATGTGGCCGAGGCGTGCTGAGGCTAGGGTCTGTCGAAGAATGGGTCGAGAGCAGCACAAGCAGGAGGCATCATCATCATCATCATCATCGTCTTCAACAACGTCATCATCATCAGCGCCATCGTCATAATCCCATCATCATCATCATCAAAAATCGTCATCATCATCATCATCATTCCCCTAAAACCCCGTCTCGAGCTCGCAATGAAGGCCAGATTGAAAATCCATACTCGAGCTAAGCCTTAGGCTTCTTGAGACCTGCTCCGTGCTTTGCTCAGGTGGGCTTTGGTCTCGATAGCGCCTTGGACGGCACATGTGCGATAGCAACTATGCGCAGAGAGTCGTGGCTTTAGGTTTTTGGCCTGCATACTCTGGGGCAACTTGGTGGCAACATTGAGAAACCTCTGTGTGACATGATAGACGTGGAGTGATGCGACCGCCGCCGGGGGGGAGGCACGGAGATAGGACCGGGAGCCTCAGGTACGTGCACTTAGACATCAAGCCAGCGAATATCGTTAGCTTTGACATGCCTGACAAGAAGGACGTGAGTCTAAAAGCCATGCTCCATTTCACACCAGGGTTCCGATTCGGCATCGGCATAAGCACGACGCAGGTGTCGTTGCTGCTTCATTGGCAATGCTGAGTCGAGCCATTTCATGGGAACTCATCTTTGTCTCTCATGATGAACGGTCGACTGGTAATGTTCTCCAGGCTCCCGAACCACAGGTACCTGAGCCAAATTGGTGAACATAATTTCTAGAATTCATGAATTGCCCTATACTGTGCAGCTTCAGTTTAGATTCTTTAAGTTTGTGAGCTTGTACTTGCATGAACTCTTTACATTACTCACTCTTCATTGACCGTTCCGGAAAACTGTCATGAGGTGTCGACAACATGCGGTACATGAGCGTGCGCTACGTAGCCTGTCGGTGGTTTACAGCGACAGAAATCTTGGATCTTCGTCTGTGCCTGTGCGCTGCCAGGAGCAGTGGAAGTTGATAGACCTGGACGGCGCCCTCAACTCCGGAAAGCCAGCCATGCTCAAGGAAAGCTGTTTCGATTCGTGGGTGAGTGAGTGAGTGAGTGATTTAGTACGTGAGCGTGTGTGTGTGTGTGTGTCTCTCTCTCTCTCTCTCTCTCTCGCTCCTTGTGCTATGTTGTGTTCCTGCCTTGGAGCCTCTGGATGTGTGCGCTTGTGCAAATGCTAGAGTTCTGCCAAGTGAGGTCGAGAATGCACGGGCATTCATGCAGAGTTCTCACACCTTAAGTTCGTATACTTCAGTGTGAGTTCGCAGTGAAGCATGGAGGATTGTGTCACAACGTTGCAATACCTGTGCTGAGCTCAGCCCATTGAAGGCAGTAGTGGCCTCCGTTTCCCAGCTGTGCACGTGAGCAGCAGTAGCATTTCCACAGGTCCCCGGAGCTCGCGGGAACGTTTCTTTCCATGAAGGTTCCTGACAAATTGATTCGGAAGCTCGCAGTTGCATCGCTGGAGTCCATCATTGTCAGGTCTGTGCTCGCGACAAGTTCGGAAGAGCACGACGCGGCAGGGAAGAGACCGACAACCAGCTTATCAAGGCCCTGTGCGCCCAAATGTTCCTCCCGTGCTGCGAGCCTCCACTCATGAGTAGGATGGAGGGCTCCCCTCATCGACCACTAAACCCGTGGCGGTTGTCTCGCGGTCATACCATCGTGATTGTCCTGGGCATCACCTATCGATAACCGATAAATCCCAATGGCCGATTCCAACATCCTTTGTGGTATGTGGTATCAGGGTACCGCCGCTGTGTAAGCATCCTGTACAGTAAACATTGCAGCCAATTTTCCCATGTCTGTGCAGCTCTCCCGGCTCATGGACGTTTGGAGCGTGGGCATGTGTGCGATGGAGGCAGGACTGCTATCACGGCGGTCCAAGTCTCAAGACCCTTCCCTTTGCGCACGAGGCCATATTCTTGGTGCCCATCTTGATGCCATGGCAGCAAGCTTACTGTTGCCAAGTTGGCCCTCGCAACTGCTCGAAAGCTGCATTTCCAGGTATGATGAATGGCTGCGTGAGACAGGTTCCGGTTGCTGCTGCAAAGAATTTCGGTCGTTGGATGTGCACACGAAAGGCACCGAGGAGAAGTTCCTCAACTGGCTTGCAGACTATCACAGCGATCCCATCATCACAGGATGGAGTTTGCTACTATCCAGTATTGTACTTCAGATGCCTGTATCATCCGTCTTCTCACTATCACTACTCTTGCTGTTTGACTGGCCTGAGAATGCTCGGATTCTGTTGACGTGTCAGGAGACCTGACGGATGCGCTGCGGGAGATCGACGAGGCCTTTTTGCTCGGGGAGTGAGCTGAGAGCATCTGCAGCGCCAAGCGCAGCGGAGGACATGTGCAACTTCTTGGAAGGGATGCTTCAAAAGGACGCTATGTTGCCTTGTTCAAGCCTCCGGCTGACTCCCACAGTCTGTCGGATGCAGGATCCGTCCAAGCGTTTCAGCATCATCGAATGCATCAACCACACATGGTTCGAGAAGATGCGCCACAGCCACCTCGAGGACGAAAGAGCTTTTACTTGATATGTCCCAGGCCAACCTCAAAGCCAAAGCCCTGAACCCCTCAGCACGAACAAGTACCTCTTCCGACCTTTCTTGCTCATCGTCCGTGGCATCACGGCTGTGCAGGACCTGGCCGGGATTTTGGAAAAGCTCCTCGGAGAAGTGATTGCCCTTCCTGTTTCTCTGGTTATGTTCTGGCTTTTCCTGTTGCATCATGAAAAGGGTTATGGTTATGATTACTCTTGTTAGGTCCTTCTTACTCTTGTCATTATGACTACTCGTGCCTTCCGAGGTCTGAGGCCGCCGATTCTGAAGCGCAGTCGCCTGCATCAAGGCACTCAAATCCCAAGCCAGAAGGCGTGAGCTGATGTCAGCTGTTTTGCCTTGGTCGGCAGAGGCCTTCTCCGAAGGAAGAGAAGGAAGACAGGCTGGGCAGATTTCGGCAGATTCGGAGAATTGCGCAGCATCACCCGAAGCATCCGAATCCGCTGCTCGGAGGCCGACGGGGAAAGATGCCAGAAGAGCATCGAGAGCTTGTGTGTTAATGTAATCGACATGCGCAGAGATGGGCTTCGGTGGATTAGAAACGGAAGACCCTGTGCTGCGCACGCGGACCGTGATTTTAAGTGTTTTGGTAGAAGGCCTGCTGCGTCGGGGGATGCAAACCACTCCCCGATGTTCTTCTTGTCACATGTAGTCTTCTGTTATGTTTGAGCTTTGTGAGCCAGCATTCTGCCCGGAAGCTTCTCGAACGATGTATCTAAGCATGCATTTTCGAGCCCCAAGCCTGCATTCGTTTGGCCAAGCTGTCCTGTGTGGTTGATCTAGAGTGTAGAGAGGCAGAGGACTGAGAACGAAGCGGTTGCAGTGGCTGACCCCGCCGGAAAATCCAAGCCATTTTCTCGGCTTGTGGGGCCACAGGCTGCTTTGGGGCCTGTGCCAGGACTGGCTCTGGGGCCTCGAGGCAGTCGCAACTTTTCTGAGGAACCATCGCAGTTAAGCTGGTAATTCGGTTTACATCGTAGCCTTCTCGTGTCAGCACACGCCCAACGTGTTCCAAGCCAAGTTGGACTTCGTGGGAGCTGACGCCACACAACAGCCTAGCCAAGTTTACATCACCACCCCGAATGGGAGTGGTATGGCTTTTCGACTTGGCTATGAAACATGGGTGGGAAAGAATGGTCGTTTATTTAACAATTAGGTCATATAAGGCATATAGGTCTGTTTCTTCATAAAAACTAAAGGTTAATTTGAATACTTTGAATCATATTTCAGACAATAATGAGATTAACCTGAAATTTAATATAGAAAATAAATTCATAGAATAAAACGAATGAGATACAAAAACGAGATTAGAATAAATAGAATTTATTACATTAAATCTTTTTGACATCATTATTCAATATACTTATGCTATATGTGCTAAAATGTGCTATTTATCGAATTATATGAAGAATTAAAAACTAACTTGGAATAGGTTGCCGGTACGAAATTATGAAAATCTCGCGCTATTTTGGGATCTTCGGTAAATCTACGGCTGTCTACCTTTAAATTCGAATTTTTTATAGGAAACCCAGAAATTCTTGAATTTTTTAGGGTTTCGTTTCGATACGTTACATAATATGAAATCTTCAAAATCTCTGGTCTTGTTTTATACGGATTTCCGGAAATTCTGGGAAAATATGAGGTTTCGTATCGTACTAAATTCCGGGGAATTGAGCATTCCAAGCACGATCTTCGGTTAATATTGCTTTATATTCTAATTTTGATTGCGTTGTGTCGTATTATTAAAATATTGGATATTATCGTTATGTAATATTATAGTAAATGATGGGATATTTTATTATTATATATATCTTATATAATATATTCTAGCACGGTAAAATTCTTTGAAGAGAAACTATGTCTGTCGTACTGTTGCGTTGACCGGGAGTGTCGCGGAGTGGTGGGTGAGGGCGGAATGGTGGCGGAGGGGTGAGGGTAATTTGAGGGGAGTGTCGTGGGGTGGTGGTGGGGGCGTATATTTGTCGTGAAGGCGTGAATGTTGTGAGGAATATCGTGGAGTGGCGGGTGAAGCGAGGGGAATATGCATGGCGTGGTGTGGAGTGGAGTGTAGCATAGGATGAGAGGGGAAAATTATGGGATGATGGGATAATGAGGGTATGGGGAGAATATTGTGGGGTGGAAGAGGGTATTTAGATTGATAAGAGGGGAGATTGATTTATGAAATATAATTGAGGAGAATATTGATATCTTAGATATGATTATATTGAAATCTCGTCTAGTGGCTCTATACTTCGGTACGTTATAGGGATAATTGGAATATTGATTCGTAATATTTATAATTTCTGCATAGAAAGTTATAGAAATTTATTCTTTAATAAAATGATATTGTATTATAATTGTGTTCGCGCTTTTGGTCTCTTATGGTTTGGTCTTTTGATATATGTATTTCTTCTTGAAGGCCTCTTATATATTTGTCGCGCGATATAAAAATTCTGGAAATCCGTTATTAGTATTCTAGAGATTTTAGCTTTAGCTTTAGGAAATCTGGCGGTATTAAATTTTTCGAAAGTTTGATAATTTTAGGAGAATATGCTCGTGGTTATAAAAAATTCTAGGATTTCTGGCAGAAAAATTCCTTTATTTTTGGTAGGCAAGGGTTATTTTATAGCGTCAAGGTCGGAAAAAATATGGCAAACTATTGTGTCGTTTGGTTCAAAGCACATATTCTTTCTTTATTGGCTTATTTTAGGGAGATATCTTCGCGGTAATAAAAATATGCAGATTTCTGACAGCGGCTCTAGTGCCTTGCTTTCTGAATAAAAATATCTATATGGAATTCAAAATATATCAAAATGAATGTGTGTTAACGCCTGGATATGATATCAAATTCATATAGGCGGCCAGGAGGGGAGGGGGAGAGAGGTCCTGGCCAATCTAGATCTCCCTGCCCAGCTCCGTGAAAATGTCCCTGTCAGTATCCGCCCTGGGCCCCATCGCGGACAACTGGGAGATATAATCATCTTCATTTTTATCTCTATCTCACTTCGTGCTGTGCCATTCCCGACGTCTGGCACAATGAGGGCACGATCCATACCCTTACGGATCGCTTCACCTTGTTTTCCGTATATCATTCCGTCGGTCTGGCATACATGGCACCAAAATTTTATCTTGTTTGTCGCTATCATCATCATCATCAGTTTCATCATATTTCACCATATCAAATTCAAATAGTCCAGAGTTCTGCGTTAAGATGCTCGAGATTCGCCTCACCAGGTCTTGCCAAATCTAAGTAGGTCTGCTCTGGCATCTCCCGACATGAGACCAGATCATAGCCGGTAACGCCGGAATCCGCATTAATAGATGTGGGACGTTGATGAGCGCACTTTCAAAGATATAAGATCGATCATCATCATAGGTCAGGTTGCACTTTCCGAAGCTGTCGGATGTCATCATCTTGATCATACCGGAATTGGTACAAGGATCGACACTTGTTATTAGAGCAACTGAATATAGGGATTTCTTAAGAAAAGATTCAGATATCTCGATTCAAGTAGGATTCAGGCAATGAAGGATATATTTGCCTTCATATCTGAGTAATTTCCATGTATGTGTAAGAGGCTTTCCTAGAAATATAATTTAGTAGGTTTCCTTTTCGAAGGTTGGAAGGCGCATAATTCTGAGTCTCCAAGGTCAATAATATTTTGCACTCTTTCATATCGTAGCCTTTTATATTAAAACTGCAGAGTCTTTCGAATTTTTTCTATTTTCAAGATATTGTTCGAGCCTCCATTTGGGTCAGTCAAGTATTTACAATTTCCTTTTATCCCGGGTATATTTATGTGCAAACGCCTGGACATGGCGTCAAGGACATGGCGTCAAATGTATGTAGGCGACCAGGTCCTGGCCAACGAAGACTCCCCTCCCCAACTCCGTGAAAACGTACCTGCCAGTATCCGCCCTGCGCGGACAATTGGGAGATACAATTATCTTCATTTTCATCTCTATCTTCCTTCGTACTGCCATTCCCGGCGTCTGACACACGATCCATACCCTTACGGATCGCTTCACCTTGTTTTCCGTATATCATTCCGTCGGTCTGGCATATGTGGCACCAAAATTTTATCTTGTTTATCGCTATCATCATCATCACCAGTTTCATCAAAATTCACCATATCAAGTAGCCCAGAGTTCTACGTTAAGATGCTCGAGATTCGTCTCAGCAATTCTTGCCAAGTCTAAGTGTGAGTCTACATGTCTGTCTATACGTCTGTCTATATATCTATGCGTCTATCTAAGTCCGTTCGTCTCTATTTATTTATCCGTTCTATCTCTGTCTATCTCTATTTATATTTATATCTACGACCGTCCATATCTATAAATGTATCTAATCTATAAATAGAATTAAATTTATATAATTATTTATTTTCTTATTTATCTGTATTTTTACTTATTTATCTATATAAATATATATTAATTTTATATATTATACTTATTTCTTTATCTATTTCTATTTATTTATTCTTTTAAGATTCTTAATATATTTTTTCTCATAATTTATTCTAAATAATTATTAATTATACCAATCAAACTTAAGAGAAATAACAAATATTATAATAATTATTATATTTTAAAGATAATATAATAGTCTATATTTTTCTTTTAATTATTAAAAATCGTAT